TCAGCTGGACGCGGTGGCTCAGCCTGTAATCCCAGCACTTTGGGAGGCCGAGGCAAGTGGATGTCTGGGCTTGAGGGTTCCAGACCAGCCCGGGGAATTTGGCGAGACCTTGTCTCTACAATAAATCCAAAATTAGTGAGGCGTGGTAGCGTGCACCTGTAGTTCCAGCTACTTGGAAGGCTGAGGCAGAAGGATCTCCGGAGTCCAGCAGGTTGATGCTGGGATGGTCATGAGTGTGCAGTGGCACTTCAGCCTGGGCAACAGAGTGAGATTCCAACTCAAAAAAAAAAAAAAAATCACTTGAACTTGGCTGGGCGCCATGGCTCAGCCTGTAATTCCAGCACTTTGGGAGGCCGAAGCAAGAGGACTGCCTGAGCCTGGGAGTTCGAGACCAGCCCGGGCAACTTGGTGAGACCTCATCTCTACAAAAAAATCAAAAAATAAGCCAGGCATGGTAGTGTGTGCCTGTAGTTCCAGCTACTTGGAAGGCTAAGTTGGAAGGATCACCTAAGCCCAGCAAGTTGAGGCTGCGGTGGCCGTGAGTGTGCCACTGCACTCCAACCTGGGCAACAGAGTGAGACTCCAACTCAAAAAAAAAAAAAAAAAAAAATCGCCTGAACTCAAATTCTTGGTTCAGGAGCTGGTTCTGGGACAACCTACACATGCCCCCAAAATTCCTTCACCAGAAAACTGTCTAAAGATTTCGACCAGTCTGGGCAATCAATCAATCAGCCAGGCTTGGTAGAGCATGACTGTAGTCTCAGCTACTCTGGAGACTGAGGAAGGAGGATCACCTGAACCAAGGAGGCTGAGGCTACGGTGAGCCACGATCATGGCCCTGCACTCCAGCCTGGGCAACAGAGTGAGACCCCCCTCCCCACCAAATAAAAAGATTTTGCCAGGTCACTCTCCTGCCCAAGCTCATCACCAACTTGATGTCCTCATGTGACACTAGAGGCTGACCCTTATTGTCTTTGTCTATCTCTCCAGACTCATCAACCCCAGTTTCCTACTCTATACTTGTCATCTGCTTGGCTTCTTTTTGTTTTTTGAGTTGGAGTCTCACTCTGTCACCCAGACTGGAGTGCAGTGGCCGCTCCCGGCCACCGCGTCCTCGACCTGCTGGGCTCCAGCAATCCTTCCACGTAGCTGGAATTACAGGTGCACGCTACCACGCCTGGCTGATGTTTTGATTTATTGTAGAGATGAGGTCTTGCCGCCCAGGCGGGTCTCGAACCCGCGGGCTCAGGCAATCCACTCACCTCAGCCTCCCAAAGGCGCGGGATTACAGGCTGAGCCACCGAAGCCCGGCTCTTAGTTTCCCTTCTTTGAGGGTAGAGAGATGTTTACATTGTTTGTAGACAGCTTTCCAAGTGTATTCACATCTCAGCCGATTTGAATGGCTGTTCATGTTTCTTTTTATTTGGACAGTGTTGATTAGCCTATTAATATGGACTCACCCTATTCACAAGCAGTCTATATAAGGACTGCAACAAAATAAGTACAAATTAGCACCCATTAATGTGCTACCGGTTGGATCTGTACTCGCTGAATAGGTGAAATAAAAGGGATCCGTGAGGTTGATCCTGGAGGATTTTTGAAATGAGCTTTTAGGAAGGGAGGGCAAGAGCTGAGAAAGATAAGGGAGGCCGGGCTTCTGCAGGGCCCACACTGCCGAGAGCCGTGGGACGCGAGGGCCTGGAGGGGGCCCTCAGGCTGGGCGTGGGTTTCCCCCAGATTCAATGATCCTGCTGGGCTCCGTGGAGCGCTCGGAACTGCAGTCCCTCCTGCAGCGCCACTTGTGCCCCGAGCGGAGGCTGCGCGCGGCCCAGGACATGGCGCGGAAGTTGTCGGAGCTGCCCTTCGACGGGAAGGCGTGGCCGGCTGGGGAGGGACTCTCAGGCGGCGCGCCTCGGGGCCGGCCTGAGTCCTTCGCTTTCGTGGATGAGGATGAAGATGAGGACCTCTCTGGGAAGGCCGAGGTGACCGCGCTGGAAAGGGCCGGGGAGCGGGGTCGATGCGGGTGGGAGGGAAAAGCAGCTGCGGTGGCCGCCAGCCAGAGGCATTCTGTTTGGTGACTGCTAGACTGGGCCGGGACAGGCGCAGGGCAAGTAGTAGGAAGGGGAGGGGAGATGCCGATGACTGAGAGAGCCAAAACGCTAGTTCGGGTGCCAGAGAGACCAGTGCCCCAGGGTCCGGGTGCTGAGGGAGATGGTATCTATGAGAATTCAAATGGTATCGGAGCTCTCTACTGGTAGGAAGAATAGAGTCAGCTCAGGTGCAGTGACTCACACCTGTAATCCCAGCACATTGTCTGTGGGAGAGGATTGCTTGAGGCCAGAAGTTTGAGACCACCCTAGGCAACATAGTGAGAACTGGTGGCTACAAAACATTAAAAAAAAAAAAAAAAAAAAATTAGCTGAATGTGGTGGCATGCACCTGTAGTCCCAGCTACTTGGGAAGCTGAGGTGGGAGGCTCATTTTAGCCTAGGAGGTCAAGGCTGTGGTGTACTACTGCACTTCATCCTGGATGATAGAATGAGACCTGGGCTCAAAAAAAAGAAAGAAAGAAAGAGAGAGAGAGAGAGAGAGAGAGAGAGAGAGAAAGAAAGAAAGAAGGGGGGGAGGAGAAAGAGAGAAAAGGAAAGAAAGAGTGATAGCTGGACCTGGTGTTACGCGCCTGTAGTTCCAGTTACGTGGAAGGCTGAGGCAGAAGGATGGCCTGAGCCCAGCAGGTAGAGGTTGTGGTGGCCTTGAGCATGCCATTGCATTCCAGCTTGAGCGATACAGTGAGAATCCAACTCAAAAATGAAAGAAAGAGCAAGAGTGAGAAAGAAAGGGAGGGAGAGAGATAGAAAAGAAATGAAAGGATAGAGTTAGATTTTCCAGAATGCTCATCAATTGGTAAAGGCAGTGGGAAAGGCCTCTGCTGCTGACTGAGAATCCTTATTCTTCCTTACAGCTGCCTCCTCCTCCTCCTCACCCCTTTTCTACTGTTCTTCTGTCCCTGGAAGAACCCAATGGACCCCTACCCAGCCACAAACAGCAGCCAGAAGCCCCAGAGCCTGCAGGTGACACTCTCTGGTCATGCACCCCCAACTCATGCTTTGTGGGTTATCTCTGGGCTCACCTCCACCATAAGCTACTTCTATGAGGAATACGAGGGGGAAACCCCCCAAAACTCGGAATTTATTTATAAAAAGTAGTGTATTTATTCTTACATGTTTAAACTTTAGTCACCTTCAATGTACTCTCCATCTGATACAATACACCTACTGATGTTTTTTCCATTGCTCAAAATAATTTATGAACTCATCAATTTTGATGCCTTTTAGTGCTTCTGCCATTTTTTGTTTCACCTTTTCCACATTGGCATAAAGTTTCTTTTTGAGGACTTTTTTCATCAGGAAACTAAAAAAAAGTTGCTCAGGGTGAGATCAGATGAATAGGGAAGATGAAGTACGAGAATCCTGCCATTTTTGGTAAAAAAAAAAACTGCTGATCACTCAGCATAGTGTAGGCAGGTAGGCTCGTAAATCACCCATCAAGAAACTGAAAGAATCTCAAAAAAAACTTTTCACTGAAGCTGAATGCAGCCTTTTACAATAATGCTGCCTGGTTCACTGATGCTGATAGGATTCTAGAACACTTGTCTAGTGGGGGATGTGTGTACAAGGAACCTGTCCTCCAAAAAATAATTCTGTTTTTTTTTTTTTGAGTTGGAGTCTCACTCTGTCGCCCAGAGGAGTGCAGTGGCCGCTTCCGGCCACCGCAGCCTCGACCTGCTGGGCTCCGGCGATCCTTCCGCCTCAGCCTTCCGAGTTGCCGGAATTACAGGCGCACGCTACCACCCCCAGCTGATTTTTTTTTTTTTTTTAATTTATTGTAGAGATGAGGTCTCGCTGCCCAGGCAGGTCTCAAGCCCGCGGGCTCAGGCAATCCACTCACCTCAGCCTCCCAAAGGCGCAGGATTACAGGCTGAGCCACCGAGCCCGGCAAATAATTCTGTTTTTTGGGGGTCCTCTCTCATAGTGAGGCTGGTGGTGGGGTGGTTCTCATTCACAGATCTGCCATGTTGTTTTTCCAAGGAGTGGGGACAGAGGGTGGCTTAGGAGGGTAGAAAAGAGGGTGTCTATGGAAGGAAGGCACCTGGGAAGTGTAATTCTTCAGAGACAAAGTGTCAGGGACCCTGGGGAGCCCCTGACCCTTTTCTCTAGGGCAGATCCTGCTTTGTTTCCTTTTCCATCTACCCACCACTTCTCTCAGGTGAAAGACTTTCCATCTTCCAGTCCCTGCTGGGCTGCTTGCTGGGCAGAGCTCGCCCCACAAACAAGAAAACAACCCAGGTGAGAGGGCATGTGTCTGGTGGGGTACAAGGGAAGAGGAGCCTGTGTTTGAGGAGTGTTTGGTTCTTAAATATGGAAGGCAGAGATCCCACCAAGGAAGAGATGTTTCATCACATGGAAGGGATAATGACTTGGAAAGGAGGCGGCTGTGGCCTGGCCAGGGAAAGACAGCTGCTGATTCATGGGGAACTATAGGTACATGGGAAGAAAAAGGAAAGCACTTGGATCTGTGTCTTTCTTCTCTAGGAGTCAACGGATTTAGTGGATACCATGTCACCTGAAGAGGTAAGTAAGGGGAAGAGCAACCTCCTGTAGGTTGTTCTGTCAAATGAAGATATTGCCCATTTTTCCCCTGCCCTTTTTTATTGTGTTGTCATAAAATAAAATGTGAGTCTAGATGGGAAAGTATTTGAGAGGTTGGAAATAAGAGAGAGAGAGTAAAAGCATCTGATGGGACATAGAGGTGTGCTCAGCAGGACATAGTCATTTCATAAGAGGAGAGTTGTGAGGCTCTGTGTGCAAATAGGACCATGTGCTAAGATATGCCTTGGATCTTTTAGAGATTAGGGACTTTCTGAACCAGGCAGGGCTTTGCCTGAAGTAAAATGGCACCGGGAGGGCAGCTCTAAAACAACAATGTGGAAGAATAGCATCAAAATGAAAATGGGGGTATTTGTGCCTGGTGGAGGCTGGATTGGTTAGGCCCTGAGACAATGAACAACAGGAAAACGTCAGGTATCGCTCCGGGAAAGAACTGCAAACAGAAAGCAAATAATGACAACAGTGCCTTGTCAGGACAAGTGCCTATTTCCTAGAAGAGGTGGCCATCAAATCCACAAGAGAGAAAAATCAAGCATATGGAATGTGCTTGTTTATGAGGAGGGAACAGAATATGGAGTAGTGATTGGGAGACAGTGACTAAACAGTCCAGATCAGAACATGCTGTAGGGGTCATGGAGGAACAACAACCCAACAAGTCCATTAGCAACTATTCCATGTGGTGAAAGACAAGCCAGTCTTGCTGTACAGGCTGAAAAGGAAGAGTTTTTAAAGTACGGTGCTGACAAAAAAAAATCATAGCGGGTATCAGTTTAAAATAAACATTTCATTAGACATCCAGAATAAATATGTAGTGAGGGTTGAAAGCACTACAGGTTTGGAGGAGAGGTTTTGAGTGACAAGAGAGAAAGGAAACCTTCCCTTTCTCTCCTTGGCACCCTCCAGAACAAGCACACTTCTGATAAATGACTTATGAAAAAGTCATATAGTCAAATAGATGCTCACAGAGGAAAAAGATAAACTATTCCTTCTGCCCACAAGCAGGAATCAGAAGGGTCATAGTTGTAATTAAGAAGTTCTTCCTTAGGTTGTAGAAACCAGTAATAATATTTCTTTTTTAAAAAATGCACCCAAGAGAGGAAAATAACTAGTTGATCACTGTGGCTATTTAATGGCCACTGGAAATAAAGTACAGCCAGGGATAAAAAGAAGATAGATCATCATTTCTAGCTTATGTCTTTCCCAAGGAAGACTGAGCTACCAACTCCCATGTGATCCGTTGAGATATTTTGGAGGGATAAGACCCAATAGGAGTCAAAATTCAGGATATTTTGAACACTGTTTTCAGACTAGATGATACCCTTGACAATATCAAGATGTTGGTATTGACAAAAAACAGTATGGGGGCAGTGTGGAAATATGGGCAGTATTCAATTTTATGTCGCCAGAAGTCCCTGCTAGGATCTGTTTGATTCCGCGTACTCCGTTTGGAGTATACACACAGAGCTCTGGTTTCTAACTGGTGGAGCTTTCTCAAGGAGTGGAACAAATCAGGCTCAACAGTAACATCCTCCTCCCTTCGTATAAACGCTGGGGATGTACCTGGAACATGATCCACAGTCAAGGTTAGAAACTTGGCTCCACCAATTATCGACTGTGTGATCTTGAGCAAACAACTTAGTCTGTGCCTTTGTTTCTTCATCTGTAACATGAGGAAACAAAAAAGCCACAAAAGCAGTTAGAATAATGCTTGGCACAGAGGAGGTACTTGATAAACACTAGCTGAAAATGTTGCTGCTGCTGTTATTAAAGAAAGACAAAAATGGAGTCTATGAAGGCCACAGATGACCATAGAAAGGACTGAGAGGACGGGATCAACCAGACCAGGGTTGGCAGGGTTTAGCCACATCCTATATGTAAATTTTCTCTACAACGTACTTGCTAAGTGGTTGTCCATCTGTGCTATGAGAGCTGGTTAAACCCCATGTGATCCGTTAGTTAGGAAGATGAGAGGGCAGAGGAGCCGTGATTATAGAAATATCAGGGCATGACAGGTGGACTGAGCAGCACTGGGTACTACACACTAGACCCTAGAACTAGATAATGACCTTTGACAATAGTCTTGAAAGCTTTTAAGAGGTAAGATTTGGAGAAATAGGAAAACAGATAAGTACTAGATCATTCAGAAGGTACTGACCTAAAAGTGATTTTTAAAAGTTTTTTATTAATTTATGAAAGATATGTAATGGATTATGTGGAATCTTGGGAGTTTTTGGTGTGCATATCTAGGGTCAAGAGGATAGTGGCCATTGTACCTTAATGCATCTGTCACAGAGACAAAAACAAGTAAATAGAATCCAACTTTGATCAAGTCAACTAAGTGTCCATGAGGTCCAGTACAGCTCTGCAAATTCAACAAATACTCACCGTGATCTCCTGCCTGAAAGGAGAATGTGCTAGTTTCCTCATAACATATAGCAATTGATACCATGTAATACTCTCAAGGAGTTTAGGTCTAGTAGGCAGAAGTAAGACAAATGCCAATGCAAGACTGAGTGTGGCCAATGCCATTTCTGAAGAGGAGGGACCAGCAAAATACTGCAGGCATTAAAAAGGGGGAGAAATGTGTCTGATTGGGACAGTCAGGACATATATGCAGTATTGGGGCAAGGTGAGGCGGAGGAAAGAACCCCAGGTGGTGAGAACAGCAAAGTCAAAGGGAAAGCCATGGTTGAAGAGCAGAAAGCAGTCTGGTTTGACTGAAGCCGCGGGTCTTACAGGAGTAGTAGAAAATAGGATGGGAGAGATAGGTTGAAAATAACAACCATTTGGAGCACCCAGAGGGTGGAAGAGTTGAGGACTAGAAGAGGGAGTGATGCTCTGGGTGCCTGGGGGTGCAGGGTGGGTTGGGGGTCTAATGAGGGAGGATAGGGAGGCGCTGTCCCCTGGGAAGAAAAGGGAGGTCCCTGATCTGGAGGATCTGTAATTGGTCACTGCTTGCTGAAAGATTCTGAACAGGGGCTAGAAGGCCCGTAGGGGTCAAAACCAAGTGTCTGGGGTTGAAGAAGGCTCTGTGATTTTGGTGACTTCCTCCTCTGACAGATTGAGGCCTGGGAGCAGGAGCAGCTGAGCCAGACTGTCTGTTTTGATTGCTGTTGTATTGACCAGTCTCCCTTCCAGCTGGTGGAGCAGACGACCCTGCACAAGGCGAGTCCTTTCTGACCCCTCAGGGCTGCAGGAAGGGCAGGGAAGCCACGGGGCGAGGAACACATGCTGACCTGTGTTCTTCTCACTCAGACGCACACGCTGTTCTCACTCCTTGGCCTCCACCTTGCTTACGTGACCAGCATGGGGAAGCTCAGGGGTGTCCTGGCCCTGGAGGAGGTAATCATGATGTGTCTCATTTGAGCAGCAAGAGAGAGAGTGGGCACAGGATGGGGGGTGCGGGTGGGGGAAGGGATGGTGTTAGCATCTCCAAAGTCCCATCAGGTTCTCTTCTCTACTTCTCAAGCAAGAGATTGGAGGGGGCGGGGAGCAGCCAGCAGGAGCGAAGGAGACTACACAGCCTATTATGGCCACAGTTCCAAAGGAGACACAGTTCTCCATCCCAGATGGGACCCACGGGATCTTCAGTGGATGCTGTGGGTTTGAAATGGAGGTTCAGGGCATGAGTTGCAGCTCTGTGGGGTTGAGCTATGAGAAAGCTGTGGAAAGAAGGCAGAGGGGGGATGTGGACACAGGCAGTCACTAAGAGGGAAGGGGTCACCTGAGGGCCTGAGTCGGGGAACTGGAGATTCCCTGCAGTGCAGGAGGATCTTTTGCTCATGCCCCTTTTCTTGTCCTTGTTGTCTTCTTTGATCTTAACATGTTGTCTCTTTCTGTTTCTCCCTCTCTTGCCGCTGTCTTTCCTGTTCAATTTCCTTAGGTTGTATCTGTTCTTCTTTCCTGCTTCTCTCTCGCCAACCCCATCTTCTTTCTCTTTCTGATTTTGTGTTCTCTTTTCCTTTCCCACTGCTCCCCAGCTACAGAAGGCCATCGAGGGGCACACCAAGTCTGGGGTGCAGCTCCGCCCTCCGCTTGCCAGCTTCCGAAACACGACTTCAACTCGAAAGAGTCCTGGGGGACCACAATCTCCTGCAGAGGGCTGGAGCCTGCCTGACAGCGGACCTGCAGCCACTGGAGTAGGGGATGCGGCTCCTGCCTCCCCAGAGACCCCGGCACCATCTTCCTCCCCAGAGCCTCCTTTCTCCCTGGTCCCTGCCAAGGCAGAGGGCGAGCTAGAGGAGCTGGAGCTAGTGGAGAGTCCGGGCCCAGAAGAGGAGCTAGCTGACATCTTACAGGGCCCCAGTCTGCGATCCACTGATGAGGAGGATGAAGATGAACTGATCCTTTGACCACTTCTTTCTAAAGACTGTCAAGAGGCTCTCCCTTGAGGGTGAACTTGTGTGGAACAAAGTGTGTTCTGAAGTTGGCGAGGTCTCTCCAGTGTCCTGGCCCCTCCCAGGAATTTTAAAATGTGATAGTGATAGTCTTAAAGGAGGAGCCAGCTCTTGGGCAGGGAGGAGCCTTGGTCAATTATTTCGACCACGTCCCCCCATTCTTCGCCAGGTTCTAACCCTGGTGAAGAGCCCTCAATAGTCCATGGGGCTTCATGAGGTTTCCTGGCGTGTGGGTGGGGAACACCACACTTCTCTCTCTGCCTTGCTTGGTCCCCCCACAATTCCCCAGTGTTCTTGTTCCAGCACCCTGCTGGTCCTGCCTGTGTGTCCTTCAGTGTCCGCAGGAGGTGGGTGAGGGGAGGCTCAGAATGACTGTGGCCCTGCAAGTACCACACTGTAGGGGAAGATGGGACCACCACATGGCCTTGGGCAATAACCACCCCAGAATATGCCTCCAGATGGGCCACAGCTGCTTCTTCCTTTTCTCAGAGCCTCCAGAAATCTGCCTCCAACCACCTACCCCACCCTACCCTGGGCTCCCACTGCCTGTCTGCAGGCCCTGGGCTCCCACTGCCTGTCTGCAGGCCCCGGGCCATTACTAGGGCAGTGGAAGGCTACCCAAGATCAAGGGCAGCATCTGAAATAAAAGGTTGCCAAAGGCTCTGTGTGGAAGGGGCAAGTGCTAATCACACCCTCATGGTGTCATCTGACTGCCTCTGGCAGAAAGCCCTTCTACTCCAGAATACAGATTCCTCACCCCCCAGGGCCCAGGTTACTGCCTCAGAAATGCACCTGCCCTCTCCCCACTGTTGATTTGTCCTGCCAAGGGTCAGCTCTGCCCTGGAGCTGCTCTAGCTGGGGCCTCTCCTCCCAAGAACCAAGGCTCAGAGCAGCTAGATCACTGGGTCACTCAAACACCACCCTCCTTTAGACTTGTTCCTCAGGAACCACTCCTTGGGGTGGAGAGTTGGGAGCCCAGCATCAA